TTGAGTTTGTATTATCAATGGGTAAAATGTCTCCTCCGTCGCAGTATGTGATGGTGTTGTTCTCACGGCTGACCCACTTGTTGGTGTTGATCCGGACGCCAGACTGGTTGGTAGCTGGCATACTGCTGCTGGGACCTGGGTGTAGCCTAGTGGTAGCTTGCATGCTACTGCTGGGGCCTGGGCCTGACCCGGTGGTAGCTGGCATGCTGATGTTTGGGCCTTGGTGTAGCCTGATGGTAGCTGGCATGCTGCTACTGGGGCCTGACCCGGTGATAGCTGGCATGCTGATGTTGGGGCCTTGGTGTAGCCTGGTGGTAGCTGGCATGCTACTGCTGGGGCCAGGGCCTAGCCCAGTTGTAGCTGGAATGCTACTGCTAGGGCCTGCGCTTAGCCTAGCGGCAGCTGGCATGCCTCTGCTAGGGCCTGGGCCTAGCCTAGTTGTAGCTGGCATGCTACTGCTAGGGCCTGGGCCTAGCCTAGTCGTAGCTGGCATGCTACTGCTAGGGCCTGTCCCAGCCAGGTTGTAGCTGGTATGCTGCTACTTGGGCCTGGGCCAGACCTGGTGGTGGCAGAAAGTTTGTTTCTTCCATCCAGTAGTTCACATTTATCTGGATGAAGAGTAGAGCCACCAATGCATTGCTGTTGATCAGTAGCCAGCAGTCCCAAAGGGAAAATATCAGTTGGTTCCCTTCCTTCCAGTACAATCATAGCAAACTTGCACTGATTCATGAAGATAATCCTTGGACACAGGACTTTCTTGGTCTAGGATAATGTTTGCTAGTGGACCAGGATTCAGTTGTATATCCCCACTTAGTAACAGCAGAAACAGTAGAGTGCTGTAAACATACCTTTGTTTGCTTCTCTTGGTGCGTTGTTTGCTGTCTCTACTAGAAATTCCATTGAAATGTTCTTTCTGCCAGAAAATGGAATAAACAGTCAAATATCCGTGTCCAAAGAAATTCAATCTTGAGCAGGTGGAACAAGCAAAAACCACAAGCAGAATAACAGTGTCCAAACACCTCCATTTTCTCTGTAGCTTTTACTTGATTCTTGTCTTTGATTCAAGTATTTCTTTGAGTTGAAGCATTTTCGTTGAAAAGCATCGGCTAAAACTGATATAGTCTGGAGTAAAATGTTAAATAAGAGGATTGGTGTGGAGCCCAACACACCACACCTGTCCTCGGCGGCCATCTTGATTGTTCATATCGTCAGCATATCATACTGTGCTCTCCTTGATATTAGCACTGTGATCACCACACACCCTGTTAAATACATGCCTCTCCTTCATTCAAGACACAATGTATTTGCAGTTGTATATGGTTGGCCCTGATAAAACATCAGTATATATTAATAACAGTAGTTATTATATTTACTGAATCTGCCATGTTTTACTATTTGTCTGAGTGACCTGAATCTCCTGTTTGATGAGGTGCTCCTGGACCCACCAGACTCTTCTCACAGTATGAGAAACCACCAGAGGTGGAGGTTGTGTGATGCTTCAGTCAAGCGATAGTCTTCAGACAACTCAGCGTGTCAGGATGACCACTGTGACCAAGATCACAGAGCTTCATTACCAGCTGACACAACTACAGTATACAAAAAAACGCTCTGCGCAGGCACCCCACCTCACCGATATCACTGATGCCTGGTAGATGGAGAACCTTCTGTACTGGTCCATAGACATCCCGTGCTAGTTTGTACTGTTTCCAGTCAAGATGCTCTCTATTGCTGTTCTGTTAAACTCTGTTGAACCGGAACTTGGCAGGGGCTCTGTTCCTTTGCAAAGCTTTTTATGTAATTACACAACTTAAACGGGTGCTGTGAAAAAAACTTTAACTATGCATGTAGAGGGGTCAAAAACCTAGTCCATTTAGCATTGAAAATGTGAGTTTTGCATGTAATTATTTATGTAATTAAATATGCAGCATTGACAAACCCTGTCCCGTTGGGCAACATCTGTAAAGGAGATGTGCTGGACAGGTGTGGGGATACCCACAAGCCTCTGGCTGAGCGTCGCTGTGTTGGACTTCTCCACAGGTAACTTGAGGGCCCCCGATGTGACTGTGAGTGCCCTGAGAAAGACCCTGGTAATGCCCTCACCAAATAATTGATCCAGATCAACACTTGTGTTTATTTCAGGGGACATGCGGAAATTGACACATGTTGCTGGCTTAGACTGTACATAAGAAGTGGACGTAGTCATCGTGAGACATCACCATTTGGTTTGTGGACAGATGTTATGAGGCCTCGAGTTTGGCAATTTGTCTGTCGCAACCAATGACTGAAGTGACCCTATTTGGACTGTGGAGGAGTGATGTAGAGACGTCGTATACGGCTCTGGTAGAGACCTGTCAATCACAGTAAGCCCGCCTTAAAGCATACCCTGCTTTATGGTCTGTTTGACTCTAAATGGACCATCATTTTCTAAATGAACATCATGCTGTATTGAAGAAGACTTGAAACGAGAGATTGAGACCATGAACTCATGTCTACTGAGGTATAGTGCGAGACTCTTGGACTAAAAATGGGACCATCACCAAAAGCACTATTAAGATCTTTTCTCAGCGCCAACCTAGGACCTGGAATGACCTCATGACCCTGATGTGGAGAATCTCCTTCGTGAGGGACATGTATACCCTCCACAACACTCCTTAGTGCTGAATAAGGACTGAAAGCCTTATGAGATGGGAATAAGATGTGAACAGCTCTGGTCAGACATATGTCGAGACAGTTTGTCAGTTACTATTACGACTCCTAAACTAGAACTCCATGAAACACAGCACTTTAGTTTGGATTCATATATTTCCCTTCAGCTATTTGCACTGTGGTTCATATTCACAGCAGCTGATTCAGTTTGATTGACGTCTCTCCAAAACACACATTCATATCTACCAATCACTGGCTCACAAAGTGCTTTCACAACGCAAATAACTCTTGCACAACTGTCTGATCTAGTTTATACCCATGAAGGTGAAATCTATAATATTTTTCTGCCAATATATCATCGGACTGCTGCTGCTCTCAAGCTTTTAATGAGGCGGAGCCAGCGCTGCTCTGTTCCAGACTCCCTGGTCCCTCAGCTATCCGCCATCTCCTCTGAACTGTGTGTAGTGACTGCACATCTGGAGCCAAGGCACATTATATTAGGACAAGTGAGCTCAGCATCTGTCAGTTTATAAAGGAATGGATTACATAGAATCAACCTTTAATAGGACACTGGTCATTTACACTTTTTTCAGCCTTGTTCCATTTGTGTTGAAACAGTAGTTTTAGAGGTGGAGATTCAACATCATGGTCATTCTGCATTATAGAAGAGGTGCTGAATAATCAGTCTGCTGTCATTGATAGAAAACAAACAAGAAAATATTAGAAACATCTTCAACGTCCAACACCACCACTAAAAAGTGATTGGAGGTAGTGTTCATTGCAGGGCTGTTGTATCAGACTGTGTTATTCTCAGCAAACTGCTGCTGGGTGGAGCAGCGAGCCTGTTCTTACTGAAGCAGATGTGGATGTTTGGAGTGTAAACCTGACCCCTGTGCCTCACATTGAACAAGCTGCCCTGATGTCTTGAAGAGGACCACAATGTCCATGTCAAGAAAAACTACCATAAAATGATATATTATTATTCTTCACTTTTACCAAGTTCTCTTTTGACCAATTTCAGTCTCATAACTACCAAATCTGCATTAGTTTTCAGAATTTTAACCCTTTATGAAAAGTTAAACAAAAAAGTAATTTTCTGGATACTAAGTGATTTGTTTTCAGTCTGGGATATGTCAATGATTAGCAACAACATAGATGATGATGCACTTCATCAAATACAGCAGTGCTCCATTATAGAGCCGTGATGACCCTAGTGGACACCAAGAGAACAGCACGTTTTTACCCCACAGAGCAAACATGAGAACATGTACAAGTACAATGTTGAAGACTGTAAGCTTGATATGATATAATCAAACATTGTGGTTTTATTAGGTTTCCATGGGGACATTTTTGTCCTTCAGGGTTTAAGTGTCTGTATTTTTGGCTACTTTATTATATACTCATCATAGGAGCTGAGGTTCAACTTCCAAAATTTGAAAAAAAATTAAAACTAAAACTCACCCCCTTGCAGAAACGTATGCCTTGTACATTAACATAAAAATGCCAGAATTATAAAAGAAGTCCCTAGTGACGGACAAAGGTTAGGCTTTAACACTAGATGTATCTCTCCTGTGTGAGTCCCAAAGGGTAAAGGGGAGTTTCATGACTCATTTTCAATAATCTAAGAATGTTCTTCTGTCACAACTAAAAAGACATTTTGCAGATTGTACTGAAGGATGACACTGGTGTAATGTTTTTCAGTTAGTTGTTACTTTTTAGAAAAAGTCTAAACCCACTGACGTCGCCTCACTATTGTGTGTTCCACGACAGCAGGAAGAGCTCCCAGGACGGCTGCAGTCGGACTACTGCAGGCCATCATGGAATGACAACTAGCTGGCTGCTTTCTCTTTGTCTGGAAGGAAGAACTGTTACTGTACACGTGGTGGGAGTGACTCAAAGACATAATCATCTAGTCTGCAAAAACATTAAAGGACTACCGTGAAAAGGTCTTTGTTTTCAAACGAGACACTGAAACCACAGAAAGTTTGTCATTTGATAAATGATTAATCAACCATTTGTTCATTTAATTGAATTATTAAGAGTTACAAAGTATTTCATGACAAATGTTGCCGTGCATCTCCTCAAGCCGTCTCTGTGGAGACTTTGAAAACAATCAGAGCAAATTACTTTGGAAGGTTGAGTTAACCTGACGTAGAACAGCAGCAGCTACACACTCAATGGGTTTAGGCTTTTCATGGCAATACATGACTGGTGTTATCCAAAAAAGCTTGGGTGCAACATGGAACACAACTCCCACTTTAACATCTTCATGTTTCCTACACGAGTCACCTCCCTCCTGTGAAGCTCTCTGGGAGAGTCTTGAGTCCCACTGCTCCTGATGGGGGGGGGGGGGTCACAGGGTCACATGATGAAGCTGCAGAAAACTGACCACATCTTTTCATAGAAAACTGAGGTATTGAACACAAAGAGCAGAGTGGGGTGGGTAGGCGCTCCGCCTCCGGCTGCTGTGGCGTCAGCACTTTTTCAATGTATTAACACGGTTGCGGCACACTTCCCTTTGATCTTTTAAATCAGCAGGAGGCCTGCAACCACATTCATTCTGTCCATTTCCTCTTCCCGTCACTGGCTGCCAGCTGCCAGTAGGAAGCCTGCTTGTTTAACTCAACATCAGCAATAATCTTTGCAAACATCTGCCTGTGCTTCTCCCAAATAGAAACGGTCCACTTTGCACAAATGCAAAAGGAAAATATGTACAATTGTTAACATTGAAATAAAGGATTGCTAAAACAAATGATTATCGTGATCAAAATAGACTGTGGTCAAATATGGACTTTACTGTCCGACAGTATTACATGTGGACAACAGGGGGACGATGGGAAGGCGTCCACACGGCTCCAACCTAATTTAGTTAGTCTGGTGTTTTCAGAGGGGACACTGTTGGGTCTTACTACCCGTCGGACCTCTAGTGTCGTCTAGTTGTTAGAGTTTCCTTGATACCTCTCAGAGGTAAGCTCAGTGCTCAGTTGCTGACGGCAGCTTCGGGGCCAGCGGTGGCTGCAGGGATGCGAGGCATCTTCTTGGCTGGACTGGGGATGTGCTGGAGGAGAAAAACAACTGCTGGTTAACAAAGCACCAAATGGTTCTTATCCGACCTGCTGCTCCGTTATGAACGCGCACTAATCATATCAGTAGGACAACAGTCACGTCACATTCACCAGTCGGCTGCTCTAAACTCCTCCTCCTTTACAGAAAGACTGTTTCATTCGGTCATTTTTTATGCATGTAGATGTATGCGATGAATGTAATCAAGTCTTTTTAGGACTCGATACTGACGTCACTGTGTTCCCAGACCTTGGTTCCTTTGATCTACATTAGATAGCATGTTCAAACGTTTAGTCCTCCTGTACCTCGGGGGCAGTGCTGGAGCGAACTATTTCTGGCTCTGCTGACAGGTCATTGTCCAGAGGTCTTTGGGCGTATTCCCTACGGTGCTTGTCATCTATTCGGGTCAGGTACCATGTCCCCGGGAACAGATCCGCCACTGGGCCTCGAGGGACGTAGCTGGCTGTGAGGACAGATAGAAAGAAGAAAAAAAAAAAAAAAAAAAAAAAAAAAGAAAAAAAAGAAAAGTACACCCATTGATAAATGCATTCCACTTTAGTGTTGTTGGTCTGCTAAGGACCATTAACCCAAGTGTCTTTAAACTTTCTTTACATCAAAATCAGCTTTCTTCTTGAATTCAGTATTTTAAAATTGGATAATTTTGGTCAGACAGCGATATTAAAGCTACTAAGAGGATTTAGTCCTTCCTGTACTAGCTCACCGCGTACTGCAGTACAGCCTGAAAGTTCAATATTGTGAGTCATGTCAAGCTCCATCTTCCCCATAATTTCATAGTTTAATAGTTGTGATGAACAGCAGCCAGAGAGGTTGAGCAGCCATTGTTTTCAGGAGTTTCTAAGAACTTTACTTCCTGCCAGACTTGTGACGGTCACTGTGAACGAGCAGAACCAAACATGAGCAGCAGTGACAACAGGGTCATACCGAGGTGGTGCGTCTCTTCTCTCAGCTTCATGTTCTCAGAGAAGACAGCAGGCGAAACCTTCTGTCTCGAGTCCAGTCTGGCCTTCAGGTCACTCAGGCTGGACACAAGTTTCTCCAGACCAGACCCTGAAACAAAGTCAATGAATCACATGAAAGAACACACCTTCTGTTAGCTTCTACAGTTCTATCATGACATCAGGTTCTAACTTAATCCACATCACACAGGTGAACCGGACCGTGGCTGACTCACCAGGTGTGTGGTCCTGTGTGACTCTGAGAGAATACAGAGTAGCAGCAAATCCTGAACCGTAAGAGAACACTCCAACCCTCTGTCCTGCCAACTGTGATGATGTGTGTCTGCAACAGAGAAAAACAAACAGTCTCCTTACATACGCCAACACTCAATTGTTTCTACCAGTTCAATGAGCCACACCAGAATCTATGAGAGCCATCTCTTTGCAGCCAGAAACTTTGGTGACTTCACAGTGACGTCCCCGAACCACTGAGACTCGCAGTGAACTGCATATACAGTGTAACAATTAACTGTTGTCTAAAGATCTCACCTTACAATTAGCTGCAGGTTATGTCAAAATAATGAGTTTGAGTTGGTAGTATTAGGTAAATAGGAAGGCTCTGCAGTGACTGAATGAGCCCCGTTAGGCTCCGCTTCCTCTCACACCAATGCTGCACTGCCTGTAAAAAAAGGAGGGACTCGTCCAACAGATCCACTTGCATTGGGTGCTGAGGACCTGGGTTCAGGACCCGTCTCCATTATGGTTCAATATCTACTGAAGCAGAGCGTCTACAGCAGGGTTAGTCTGTTCTTCAGCAGACACTTTGTGTTTTTCACTGCTCAGGTCTTTACTGAATCTAGAAATGTTGTTTTGAGTTATTATAATCTGATGTAAAACACATTTTGTGATTAAATGATGAGATGAATGAATGAAAAAAGTCAGACAGACTTACTCTGCGAGGACTGATGCCAGGCAGCCATAGACGGAGGGCGTGTACATGTTTCCATTCTGGTTAGAGATCAGCAGGGAGGGCTTGGTCTTCCTCTGGAACAGATCTGCACTGGCCTTCATAAAGGCCTTCTCCACATCCCGGTCAAAGTAGGTCTCTTCTGGTCGTACATCTCTACCATCCAAACACACACACACACAATTCATCAGAATCACCATTCCTGATGTCATAGAATAACTAGTTTGTACTTTTGCCACCTGGTTAATAGAGAAACCATCTTTGTTGAGTGAAATACTGAGATTGTACGATTTGAAGTCATATGTTGACAAACAACTTGTTGCATTTGGCGGATAAAGAGGAAATGTGTGAAGACTAAAGTCATACCACATGCAGAGCAAGAGTATATTATATTTTACATGCGAGATGAAATACTACAGTATATTATGTCTTATGAAGTCAAACAACCACTGGACCCATGTGACCAATATGTTCTGTGCCTGACATGTACCACCTGATGACTCCATGTATGACATGGTCAGAGATAAGAGGACTGAAGCTACAGGCAATCAATCAGCTCCCTGGGGAACAGCTGAGGCCAATTCAAAACTAGTTACAAATGATCATATCTGTGATCCTAAGAGATCAGGCTAGCATCTTAATATGTCCAGTCATAACATTTTCTATGAAAGTTCAAATATGAGGCATTGTCAGTGTTACAATGTGCTATGAGGTGACTTTCCCTGTACAGTAATGTGCATTACATGATCATAGGAACATTTTGAGCAGAAATCCATTGTGCTTCTCTGCAGTATAATCTTTTTATTTAGTATACAAGATGTACTGTAACTGCATGAATAGAGGCGCTTCAAGATGGTGGCTGGCTTGACTGCTGAAAGCCTCTGGCACTTCCGCACATCTAGGACATGACTTAGGAGCTGACTTAAGCTCATTTTAGCGCTGGTTTCAGGGGACCACTGGAGCACCAGTTACATGTGCACTTTTACCTTGTTCGTTCTATGTGAAAAAAAGAGGTGGAGAGAGCCGGACATCCAGGAGAACTAGTGAAAGACGCACGCGTCTGTGTGCTGATGCTAGAGAAGAAGAGGGAGGTTTTCTCCCTAGTATGCACGATGTGTAAAACAAGCTGTTCATTCACAGCATTACCATAGAATCTAATATTATCTATGTAAAGGTTACAGCTGAAAACAACGTCCACATCGACAGGAGTGCTCCTTTAAATCCGGACTGTATTCAAGAGGCCCGTTTTTCTTAAAGGACCACACCCCTGTCTGCTGTCCAGCTGTATTAGTTAGAGTGTACCTGAAGGCATCGAGGCCTGTGAAGGGTCCCGTCTCAGTGTTGGGGCTGGGGTGGTTTAGAAAGTCATTCAGCATCAGTCTAGCCAACGACTTCTGCACTAGCTTGCAGTACGGAGAATGGAAGACTAGATGGTCAAAGTCATCCAGGCTGAAACGCTCCTCTGAGCCCTCTGTGAAGAAGAAGGATTAGATCATATGAGCCTCAAGAATTTCTAACACACTGGGTTCCATTTCATTGACACGGTTGCAAAGAGCAATGAGAATAGCTTTTATCCAAACGCAATTCACCTGGCTGTGCTTTATCTGCATACACCTCCTCGTGTTGCACCTCTGCACCACGTACAAAATACCAAGGGGACAGTTTCTCTGCGAGATGTCTCTGTGCCGCCTAGAAACACAGCCCATTATATCAAGTCCAGAGAGGAGAGCTGCAAATGTCCATAAAGACGCTAAATGTACATTGTTGACACATTAGGTTAAAGGCTCATCTCATTAAATTACTTAATGGCCACTGAACTGAGGTAAACCCTTTAGCACAGAGAACGTCCTAAACCCTCTTAACTCATCAGGCTCTTATCGGACCAGTCCCTCCACATGCTTCAGCAACATCCTCTTTCCAACAGAAGGTTCTCTGACTAACAGATACACCAGGTAAAGAAGAAGGATCACACCGATACCGTCAACTGCTCCCATCATGTAGCAGCAGTATTATTATGGGCTTTTCCGTCTTCAGATGTACGGTCTTTAACATGGAGCAGTAATAAGGTTCAATGAGTCACTAATGCTGACTTTCCAATGCATGGTACGGTTCAGCTCGGCTCCACTCGCTTTTTGGACAAGGTGCTTTTCTGAGATAGATAGATAGAGCGGGTAAAATAAGTATTGAACACGTCACCATTTTTCTCAGTAAATATATTTCTAAAGGTGCTATTGATATGAAATTTTCACCAGATGTCGGTAACAACCCAAGTAATCCATACATACAAAGAAATCTAAACAAATATGTTCAGAAATTAAGTTATGTGTAATAAAATGACACAGGAAAAAAGTATTGAACGCGCTTACTGAAATTGAGTTAATACTTCGTACAAAAGCCTTTGTTGGCAATGACAGCTTCCTGTATGGAGAAACTAGGCGCATGCATTGCTCAGGTGTGATTTTGGCCCATTCTTCCACACAAACAGTCTTCAAATCTTCAAGGTTCCGTGGGCCTCTTCTATGAACTCTGATCTTGAGTTCTTTTCATAGATTTTCTATTGGGTTCAAGTCAGCTGATCATCTGGGCCTTTCTAGCAGCTTTATTTTATTTCTCTGAAACCAGTTGAGAGTTTCCTTGGCTGTGTGTTTGGGTTCATTGTCTTGCTGAAATGTCCACCCTCGTTTCATCTTCATCATCCTGGTAGATGGGAGCAATTTTGGTCTCATCTGACCAGACTATATTCTCTGTATATTTCACAGGCTTGTCTAAATGTTGTGCCAGCAAACTTTAAACAAGCTTCAACATGCTTTTTCTTCAGCAATGGAGTCTTGCGTGGCGAGCGTGCATACAGGCTACGGCAGTTGAGTGCATTACTTATTGTTTTCTTTGAAACTATTGGACCTGCTAATTCCAGGTCTTTCTGAAGCTCTCCACAAGTGGTCCTTGGCTCTTGGACAACTCTTCTGATAATTCTTTTCACTCCTGTGTCAGAAATCTTGCGAGGAGAACCTGGTCGTGGCCGGTTTATGGTTAAATGATGTTCTTTCCACTTCCGGATTATGGCCCCCCAACAGTGCTCAATTGGTTTCAGAGAAAAAAAATAAAGCTGCTAGAATGGCCCAGATGATCACCTGACTTGAATCCATCTATGGAAAGAACTAAAGATCAGAGTTTATAGAAGAGGCCCACGGAATCTTGAAGATTTGAAGTCTGTTTGTTTGGAAGAATGGGTCAAAACCACACCTGAGCAATGCATGTGCCTAGTTTCTCCATACAGGAGGCATCTTGAAGCTGTCATTACCAACAAAGGCTTTTGTACCAAGTATTAAATCAATTTCAGTAAGCGTGTTCAATACTTTTTCCCTGTGTCATTCCATTTTATTGCACATAACTTAATTTCTGAACATGTTTGTTGGGATTTCTTTGTATGTATGGATTACTTGGGTTGTTACCGACATCTGGTGAAAATTACATGTCAATAGCACCTTTAGAAATATATTTACTGAGAAAACGGTGACGCGTTCAATACTTATTTTACCCGCTATCTATCCATCTATATATATAGTAATACCCTTTCATGTAGGCAGGACTCATCTGATCGTCATAGCAACGCAACGTAAAATTGCAGTGACACCATCCTCAATGCGACACAAACAGCGTGGTCTCTCGCAACCAAACAGAGGAACCTCTGTACTTCCACCACGCTGTGGGTTTGCAGGCTGAATTATTATTATTATTTATTTATTTTTTTATTTTTTTAAAATCGTGCCGCCATTGATGGTACATTTAAAAATGGCGTTCCATGATGATTCTCTGTGACCAATCGGAGGTCTGCAGTGTTTTTACTCCACCTTCTCGTATCCGCTCTGCTCCCTTGTAACCTCAACTGAGCTGGTACCAAAACCAGTACCAGGTACTAAGTCCATCCACAACTTCTGCTAATGGAAAACCAAACAGGGACCATGATGGGGAAACGGGGTATTGACACCTCTGCCCCTCTTGGGCTTGCATTGTCTACAAGGAGCACTTTGAAATGGAGCATCGGTCTATATTGATCATAGACTACAGTCTTAACCCACCTCTTTGCCACTGTGCGTGGATCTTGTTACGATACACAGAGTAGCAGCGGTCCAAGGCACTCAGGTAGCACTCTATTGACAGCTTGCCGTCCACCACTGGATACTCGGACATCAGGTCTGGCTTGTAGAAGTCATATGCATGCTGCATGTGGGTCCCTCGCAGACCTGCAACACAGACAGCAGCAGCAGTTGGATCAATTCAAGTCCTTCCATAAGTAGAGCTCATTCTATGCATTTATGGCTGCCTACACTAAGCTGGAACATTTTTTTAATCTTCTCACAGATTAACTTTTCTATTGCTGTTTATAAACTTTCAGAGAATGACTGAGATAGTGTCTGGTATTTAAATGTATAGTTCAACACATACAATGTCTCAACTAACCAGTGCACATTGTAAAAGTCACTTAATTGTCCCCAAAAAAAATTCACACAAGACAGATATGAGACGACAGAGAGCCTGGCTCTTATGCACATGTTCCTTCCAAGTGTTTGACGACAATGATCTCAGTGCTTAACAGCAGAGAAGATTCAATTAAAACTTGGTAAAAAAGTGAAGTAACTTAATCAGCATTTGGATGATGGGATCGGCTAAATAACAGTGGGGTCTTATCAATACATCAATCATTGAAGAGTGCTGCCTGACAAGTTGTGCACAGTGAACAGGTCACATGGCTGACCTCGTTCAAAGGCCAGAGGAGCATTAGGCCCGACCAGCATGGCCACAGCACCAGCACCTCCCGTCGGTCGGGCACTTCCTGTGGCGTAGACCGCAATGTCCCCCGCTACAACCAGAGCATAGCGCCCTGCAGAGAGGGAGCACGAGGAGAAGCATGTTTATACACAAACATACACACAAGTCGATTCTCTAAAATGTATTCATCAGCACAGAGGCACAAGACTGTTTCAGCAAACCATCCTATAAGAGTGTATGTAACAATATATTTGTTAACAATTAAGACTGACTAAATGCTATTATGTGCTAAAATGGAATCATCTCATCAATCAGGCTTTAGCAGTAATCAATATGCAACTGAACAAAACCTTCTACACTTCTGATAATTCATAGACTATACAATGAATCAATCAATGGGAAAAATAAACTATGTTCACTCACCATCCCATGAGCTGGACTCCACCCAGTTGACGGCATTGAAGAGTGCAGCCGTACCCCCGTAGCAGGCATTTGTGGTATCAATGCCCTCCACATCTGTATTGCCAGAGTCCTCAAACAGCTGCATGAGGATCGTCTTGACAGACTTGGACTTGTCGATGATGGTCTCTGTGCCGACCTCCAGTCGGCCCACGCTGTCATAGGACAGACTGTTCCTCTCCATCAACCTTTGCACCACCGTCAGGCACAGAGAGTTGATGTCCTCCCGGTCTGAGCAGAAGCCCATGCGAGCTTGGCCCAGGCCCACAGTGTATTTACCAGCTGTTACACCGTCTAACTGCTCCAGCTCGGCCTGGTCCACATACTGGGACGGGAAGTACAGTTCCATGGCGATGATACCCACATCTTTGGGCCATGGTCCTAAGCAGCTGATCGGGGCTGATCCTGGCATCCTGAATGGGTTGAGAAGAGGTTACAGGTTCAGCATTACATCAATGTGATAAATATGTGTGTTGTTACTGTTGGAGTAAAACAACCTTACATTTGTCTACAGTGTTGGAGCCAATCAGTGCTCCTGATATACAAGTGTCATTTGTTTGTTCAGGTGCATCAACACACAAATGTACTTTTTCGCCCTTTGGACATGTTAACAGAGAACTGAGCAACTGTTTGATAACCTCACAGTCCACTAGAGCCAACAGTGGAGCCACAAAGCAACATTAGACAATATGGTTGTGACATTGTTCCGCTGTTAGCTAAGAGATCTTACGTTTTTTTAGCTAATGTAAGTTTAGCTATCCGGCAAGGTCACAGAAAACACTGACCAATAACTAGCATGCTAGCTACGGCCGTTTCAATAGTAGTATGACATGTATTGTGCTGGTTGAGATACTATTCTGCTTTAACGTTTAAATACTAACCAAACACGCCAGGAGCTAAGGTTAACAGAAGACGTGAAACCAGAGAATGTGGCTAACGCTAGCTGTAACGGCACAGGGCTAAAGTTAAATGTGGCATATTTATTATGTCTTAAGTTTGACAGCTAGCTAGCCTACGTACCTAAACGGCTACATAACGCTTGTGTTTGGGAGATAAGAGCAGATACAAAGGCTAGAGGAGAGCAACACTGGGTGAAAGGTCAATGGGATCTTCTAGAATTTGGGTTAATTCCAAAATCTGAAACATTAACCCGTTAGACTCGGTCACGTTTTAGGGTCAATGGTTGAAGAAAAGACAGATTTGTTGCCTGAAAGACTATGTGACCATTTAAAAAGAAAAGACTTTTACTTTTGCTGGCCCATAATACAGCAGTTATATTGCCACCCGGACCCAATAGGTGACGGACCGCTTCCTTTCTGATGGGGCTGGAATTTCCATACAGCCGCCTGATGTAACGCTAGCTGTGTCTTGTTACATTTATAAAGCTAACTTACTGTGATAGACATGAAAGAGTGGCGAGCTATTCTGATGTAATTAAGATTCCACACCGACACCCGCGATAACAAGCTTATGTTGACTAATATCGTTTATCAAGACTTAACAGACGATTATAACACGTTCAACTGTTTAGGTGATACAAAATATATAAAGTTGCAGACCGTAACGTTACATGGATTTTCTCACCTGAGCGTGACGGTAAAAGTTACTAAAGTTACTGACGTTACTCCGTTATTTGTGTCCGGTCCACCACTCTCTGACGGTCCGGCAGAAGTGTATTTATGTATGACGATGACAGCGCAGCGTCCGCCCTGCTCTACAGCACCTGGCCTCCTGGCCAATCACAGCTCACACACAACATGCGGCGCTACCAAGTCCCGCACATCTCTGGCCAATCGGAGATTAGGAATCAAAACCACGCGCCAGAGCCGTATCTGCAGACCAATAGCGTGAGTTGTACGATGTCTGGTGAGAGAGAAGGAGCCAATCAGACTGTTAAATTTCTGGCGCGGTAGACCCAGCAGTGGGCTGCGCTTGAAAAACCAAAGTAGTGTGGCCATGGCAACAGTCATCCATGATCCATTCATGATCCATTCAGCGGGTCCGTCACAGATAGACTGTACGGCTACGGCTACTGCTTTTAAAAAGTGTTCCCGTTAATTTAACGTAAATTGTCGGTGAAGACCATCAGTGCCCATGTAATAAATGACCTTAAAACTATACAATTACATTTCATGGATGATATGGCTCCCTCGCTCTTAACTCCTTTTCAAACGTAGCAACACACACTTTCTAAATGGGCCTCTTTTTATTTCCTGTTTGTTAATGCAGTAGGCTTGCTACCAGGAAGTAAAAAAGGACCAAAGCTGTTGCACTAGCAACATAATGGCAATGAAAAGGTGTATAAGTTATGCAATTATGTCAATGCCATTTAAACTTCTTTATACATTCTGCCAAGCGCCAAACAATGTAGAAACATGTGAGACAGGCATCAACATCATGCACCTTTTATATCAGGCCCTAAATTATTTTAGTTCTGTGAAAGTGTCTTTGTCAGTGGTGGAAGAAGTACACTGTAGGATGTCTGTCCGTTCTAAGTCGAAGTACTGAAGTATTATCTGTAAAACATTGTTAAAGTATTAAAAGTGAAAGCCGCCTATTCAGTGAAGGATGTACCCTTTCAGAGTGTTATATATGGGCTGTTATAATATGGGATTATAATGCATTAAGGTGTTAACAGCAGTTTAATGTTGGAGCCATGTCGTTTGATTGCATCCTAATTCATAAAGTGAACATATGTTTAATGTGTATACTGTAAATCTGTAGAGTAAGTATAATAACTAAATCCGTCAGATACATGTAGTAATACTGTGGGTTTGGGTACCTCAAAATTATACTTAAATACAGAACTTGACCGAATCCATGACAACCCAGAGTTGAGACCAGGAAGCAGAGTTGCAGTCTTACACACTTCTCTGTGCTTCCATTAGAGCAGTTACCCACCCAAAACCACATAGAGACTGTGTCTGCCCCACGGCCACTTCAATTAAATAAATCAAAAGTAAACAGAAGAGGAGTTATACAAAATATCCTAATACAAATTAACACCACCAACACAACAATGCAACAAAATAGGAGAATTAAATGTGGACTCTTAAATATCAGATCATCAGAATGTCATATGGATTGACTATATTGTAATTCTATTTTGTTGTTCATTCTGTACACATAACAACCTAAGGTTGGCCAGAGGTGCAATAGATTTTCCTTGTTCAAGTTTTTTGGATGGAGTTTTTCCTTTTCTGCTGCGAGGGTCCAAGGTCAGAGGATGTTGTAGGCTGAACAGATTGTAAAGCCCTCTGAGGCTACTTTGATTTTTGGGCTACACAAATAAATTTTATTGAATACATTATTTTTGTTTAGTGGAAAAATTCACTCAGGCATATTGCTGCTACGCAATTGATTAAAATGTCTGTAACCGGACCAATTCTTTCAAACAACTGACTGTTGCACTTCGATAGAGAAACCAAATATTGACAATTTCCAGCCTCTAAATATTCTTTCTGAACTATGAAGGCAAATCACTGTCAAAACCCGAGAGCGCAAATGAGATCCGCGCGCGCGCAAATCAAACAGTCGCACGCATATTTTACTTATATTTTACGAGCGCTTTTACATCACTCTGCGAGCAAAAGTCGCTCGCGAAACTTTAACCCGCTCGCTCGTGAGTCTGTTACCTGCTCACTCGTGAGTAGATTTTCTTTTTGACAGTAAGTGGGCGGACCCAGTCTCCATTGTATCGCTACATCCAATTGGTTACAATCCTCGTCTTTGGATAGACCGGATATCACTCTGACACAGACGCTAGTTCTGATAGAGGTGGTTTTCAATCCGCCACTAAACACTACTCCACTACATCTCAGGATGTTCTACATTTGTCTGACAGGTTTTGTAAACTTTTCAGACTGTAGAGGCTGATGAAATACAAATTATGTTAATAGCGTTTTGAAATACGATAATTAAAAATGTGTTTATCTTGTAAATGGAGTCTAATTGCTCAGATTAGTCAAACCTCTTGTGACAAACAGCTCAAAGAAACTCTTTGATCTTAACTGAGTAAAACATGATGTGATCATATTGTTGTGTTTACAGAAGAGATATAATATAGTTTTATATAATATGAGCAACAATTTGGACCTGCTCAAAGATCTGGAGACAAGATTAGGAACCACTGTTTGTATAATAACTGTTTGCCCAACTTAAATCACTGACAAGTAATAAGTGGATGAAAAAGTATTCAGATCCTCACTGCAGTAAACGTACTAATACCATACTGATGAAACAATAATCCACTACGAGTAAAATACCTGCATTCAAAACCTTAGTCAAGTATGTTATCAGCAAAATGTACTTTAAGTGCAGAAAGTAAAAGTACCCGTGCAGTAAAATGTACATTATTTGCCCTCGACATGTAGTGCAATCTGAAAATCTCCCGCTGTGTCAGAGTGATATCCGGTTTATCCAAAGACGAGGATTGTAACCAATTAGATGTAGAGATACAATTGCGACTGGGTCCGCCCACTTACTGTCAAAAAGAAAAACTACTCACGAGCGAGCAGGTTAAAGTTTCGCCAGCGAATTTTGCTCGCGGAGTGATGTAAAAGCGCTCGTCAAAGTAAAATACGCGCGCGGCTGTTTGATTTGCGCGCGCGCGTGGATCTCATTTGTGCTCTCGGTTTTGACAGTGATTTACCTTCATACTGAACGTTCTGATGTCCAGCACTGCCTGTACTCGTCTCTCCACTTTGACTACAGTGGCTTTGTGAGATGGATGGTTTCATGGCCAGCTGTCTTTAATTATTTCAGACTTTTGGAAGTGAGTGGAGCAGCAGTACTTAAAGATAATTAACTATTCACTTGTATTGTTCTTTATGCCACTGGCATTAGCTTTTCCATAATAATAATAATAATAATGAATTTTATATAGATACCCAAAGGCGCTTTACAGGGCAAACAAAAAAAAGAAAAAAGAAAGACAGAGGCGCAAACAAAACAAACAAACAGAACATTTTGGTTAAAAAAAAAGAATAACTGGAGAAGCTGTGCGGAATGGGTCATGTAGTGGAGGCAGTGGTGGGCCGTCAGGGCCTGCAAGGCCTTCTCTGCTGTCCTAAACAGAATCACAAAGTTATATCTATTTTATAATTTAATAATGTTTCTTAAATACACCACATGTATTATAATTTATAAAAATACTTTTCCCATCATCTTATTTTCTCATTGCACAGCTCCTGTCTTCCTCAGTTGCTCTGCTTCCAGTGCAGCTTGTTTTAGGTAGAGCTTTTATCCAATCAGATTTCACCTCTGTGTCTCTAGAGCTTGTGTTGTCCTGGGGTCATCAATGACCCCAGAAGAAATCTTTTGCTGTCAAAATACAGTTGTGTGAAAAAGTGTTTGCCCCCTTCCTGATTTCTTATTTTTTTGCATGTTTGTCACACTTAAATGTTTCAGATCATCAAACAAATTTAAATATTTGACAAAGATAACACAAGTAAACACAAAATGCAGTTTTTAAATGAAGGTTTTTATTATTAAGGGGGAAAAAAATCCAAACCTACATGGCCCTGTGTGAAAAAGTGATTGCCCCGCCCTGTTAAAACATAAATTAACTGTGGTTTATCAAAGTAATTGAGATCTATCAGTCTGGAAAAGGTTACAAAGCCATTTCTAAAGCTTTGGGACTCCAGCGAACCACAGTGAGAGCCATTATCCACAAATGGCGAAAACATGGAACAGTGGTGAACCTTCCCAGGAGTGGCCGGCCGACCAAAATTACCCCAAGAGCGCAGCGACGACTCATCCAAGAGGTCACAAAAGACCCCAGAACAACATCCAAAGAACTGCAGGCCTCACTTGCCTCAATTAAGGTCAGTGTTCATGACTCCACCATAAGAAAGAGACTGGGCAAAAATGGCCTGCATGGCAGAGTTCCAAGACGAAAACCACTGCTGAGCAAAAAGAACATAAAGGCTCGTCTCAGTTTTGCCAGAAAACATCTTGATGATCCCCAAGACTTTTGGGAAAATACTCTGTGGACTGACGAGACAAAAGTTGAACTTTTTGGAAGGTGTATGTCCCATTACATCTGGCGTAAAAGTAACACGGCATTTCAGAAAAGGAACATCATACCAACAGTAAAATATGGTGGTGGTAGTGTGATGGTCTGGGGCTGTTTTGCTGCTTCAGGACCTGGAAGACTTGCTGTGGTAAATGGAACCATGAATTCTGCTGTCTACCAAAAAATCCTGAAGGAGAATGTCCGGCCATCTGTTCGTGACCTCAAGCTGAAGCGCACTTGGGTTCTGCAGCAGGACAATGATCCAAAACACACCAGCAAGTCCACCTCTGAATGGCTTAAGAAAAACAAAATGAAGACTTTGGAGTGGCCTAGTCAAAGTCCCGACCTGAATCCGATTGAGATGCTGTGGCATGACCTTAAAAAGGCGGTTCATGCTCGAAAACCCTCCAATGTGGCTGAATTACAACAATTCTGCAAAGATGAGTGGGCCAAAATTCCTCTACAGCGCTGTAAAAGACTCATTGCCAGTTATCGCAAACGCTTGATTGCAGTTGTTGCTGCTAAGGGTGGCCCAACCAGTTATTAGGTTTAGGGGGCAATCACTTTTTCCACACAGGGCCATGTAGGTTTGGATTTTTTTTCCCCCTTAATAATAAAAACCTTCATTTAAAAACTGCATTTTGTGTTTACTTGTGCTATCTTTGTCTAATATTTAAATTTGTTTGATGATCTGAAACATTTAAGTGTGACAAACATGCAAAAAAAATAAGAAATCAGGAAGGGGGCAAACACTTTCACACAACTGTATATATATGTGTTAAAGGAGTAGAAGGTGTTAAAAGAGTAGAAGGTGTTAAAGGTGTAGGTGTTAAAAGGGTAGAAGGTGCTAAAGGTGTAGACGGTGCTAACGGTGTAGAAGGTGCTAACGGTGTAGAAGGTGTTAACAGTGTACCAGCGATAGCAGCAGATGGTGGGTGGTACTGAGCGAGCGTGAGACGGCTACGAGACAAGATGTATTCCTTCTCCAGGTCCTTCAGCTCCAGAATGTCCACCTGATGTTTGACTGCAGGAGGAAACACAAGAAAAGGTTCAAACATATGAATGGATTTATTATTGTTACTAAAAAACAATGTCCGTCTGTCCACAGTGAGGTTGCTAATAAAGGTTTGTTAGAGACAAGTCACCTGGTTCAGAAGAAAACTCTCCGTCAGAGTTCCTCTTTGGAGAAGCTCCTGGACGTTCGTACTGCAACAGAAATTACACATTCACATAAACCATACCAAGAATTCAAGATTAGGGATGGGTATCTTTATCTATTTTATATATATATACACTAGATATAGATATATATCTCTGTCTCTCTCATATGCGTGTGTATATATACCACAGCTCCGGAGGCCGGCTGGACGATCCATGCGTACTCTGGTCTGATGAGACGGAGACAGTTGAGAGCAGCCAGGTAACAGTTCACCTGTTTCTGAAGACCAAGACGAGTCCGAACCTCTCGACCGAGACGCATCCCGAACTCAAACATCACTGTTCCTGCTACACACACACACACACACACACACACACACACACACACAGTGAATATTGTAATCTTTCAGACGTTTAAGCTTCATATATTCATGAAAAGATGCATGAATGTTCCAGATGTACTTTAATGATATAAATGTCTAGTTCCAGTAACCAGATATTTTACCTTTTCTGTAGTTGTGTCTGTTGATATGGAACGAGTACAGCAGCTCGTAGTAGTTATGAGCCAGAAGGTCCAAACCTCTGGCCCGAGACTCAATGATGCTGACCACCTGGTTCACATTAAACAAATACAGAAAATAAATACACACACACACACACACACACACACACACACACACACACACACACACACACA